GCACACTAGTCTACCAGGAGCTTCTCTCAAGGCAGTGGGCAGCTGGGGATCAGGGTGTGCAACTTCTTGTGAGCATAAAATTTACTCAGTTATTTTGTCTGTCCTAAGAGACATGACATTTACACAGGTAACATAACAAGGAAGAAGAGTGGGGCCCAGTGTTTGAGTTGGAGAATCACCCTGTCCACGTCAGAGAGCCGTCAGTGTTTCCTGGAATACATGAGGGCACTATGTCTTTAGAGACTAGGGTTAGTAGATCGTGAACTAGTGCAGTGCGTAAGGAGGCATTAGTGGTGCTGCAGCACGCTTTCACTAGCATGGTGATTGTATTTATCATTTATAATCTATTGTTTCAAGTCTTTTCTGGTCCTTTCTCTTATTTGCTATCAAGTCAGTACTGACTCATAGACAGTGGATTTTTTAACTGCATGGAAGAGATTGTCTATCTTTCTCTTGCAGGCAGATAGGGGGTTGGAACCATGATCTTTTCTACTACTTTAAAATTTTGAAAAATACCAGAAGTTCTAGTATTTGAAAATGTTCTGTTTAGAAGATAATGTGAGTCTCTCTGTCTCACCTTGTGCGTTATAAAATAAATTCTTTTGGCCATGATAAGTATTTTCAAAAACAAAAGTAGCAAAGAATGACGCATCAGAATGCATTATATGTAGTAAGTATTCTGTTGTTAAAGGTTTATTTCTCACATAAACATGTAGGGTCTGGTAGCTTAGTGGTGAGTTGCATTGCCAACCTAAAGGTGCAAGGCTTGAATCCACCAGCTGCTCTACAGGAGAAAGATGAGCAGTCTCCTCCTATGCACTTTATAGTCTCTGAAAACCCCCTGAATGATGTGCTGTGGTTTAGTTCTGACTCTACAATACATAGCAACAATATTTAAACATGTAAATATCTGCATATAAAGTCATGATGCAAAATATAATCCTTACTATGGATAACAGTCGGAAAAGTTTGAAAATCATACATCTCAAGCTTCTTGAGCTAGGTTCTCAGCTGTTAACCAAAAGGTTAGTGGTTTGAACCTCCCAACTGGCTATTCTGAAGGAGAATGACGAGGCAGATCCTTGGAAACCCTATGGGGAATGCTCACTTGTATTATAGGGTCAGTCCACCTCCATGCCTCTTTGTAGCATACGTTCACAAATGTGATATCAAGCATTTTAAATAGAGCATTTTATTAATATAAATAATAAAAGGGCATTTTATTAATGCCACATTTTAAAATGCATTTGTGTGTTTATTTATTTTGAAACTTCAGACTACGTTTCTTTTACCTGTAGCTATACAGCCACTCTTCTGTCACCTGGTTTAACTCAACATAGAAGATGGTGTGAGGAAGCTCTGATGGTGTAGTAAGTCTGCAGGGAGTTCCACTGCTAAATCTCCATGTTTCTTTGGTAGCTTAAATCCATGAGTACAGCTTCTTGTTATTGTAATGTGTCATTGTACTTGTGACTTATAGTGACCCTATGCACAGTAGCTCTAAACTCTGCCCTATCTTGAGCCAGTCTCACTGTTTCTTACAAACCTGTCCCTATTGCTCCAGTTACTGAGTCAATCCATCTCATCCAGGGTCTTCCTCTCTTGTGCTATCCCTCCACCCTTCTAAGCATGATGTCCTTCTTCAAAGACTGGTCCCTCTGTGCAACATGTTCAAATTCTATGAGATGAAGCTTCAAAATCCTTGCCTCTAAAGAGCAACTTGGCTTCACCCTCTCCAGGACAGATCTGTTTGTTCTCTTGGCAGTTCATGGTGTTCAATACTATTCTCCAACACCACAACTCAAAGGCATTGTTTATTCTTCTTATTCATTGCCCATATCTCTGATGCATAGCATGTGATTGCAAAGACTATGGCTTGGATCAGGCGTACCTTAGTCTTTATACTGACAACTTTGCTCTTTAGCATTCTGGAGAGGTTCCTGACAACAGATTTTCCTAATGCAACTTATCTTTTGATATCCTTACTGCTGGTGCCAAGAGTGTTGCTTGTGGAACCAACCATTAAGCTGAAGTTTTTAACAACCTCAATCTCTTCTCCATCTATCATTATGCTACCAGTTTGTCTAGTGATGAGAATCTCTGTTTTCTTTATGTTGAGCTTTAGTTCATGTTGGACACTGCAGTCCTTGACATTCTGAAGTAGATGCTTGAAGTCCTCTTGAGTTTCATTAAGTGTCATCTGTATAACACAGGTTGATGAGTCTTCCTCTAGGTCTAATGCCACATTCCTTCTCATAAAGTCCAGCCTTCTGAATGACCAATGTGACTTGGCAGCCTTGGAAAACCAAGGGAAGGTCAGCTATGTGTTGGTTCTGCCTCATTGACCAAGATGATTGTTTTGACTTTTGAGTGTACATGAATGACACTCAGAGGGGATTAACTAGTGAAAGAGGCCAAGCCTCAATTAAAGATAAATCTTGAAGTTGGATTTTTTAAAATTGTGATTTGATTGAAGGTTTACAAAACATCGTGGTGTTTTGTTTTGGGGTATTCGCCCCCCCCCCAACCTTTCATTCATACACACACATTTGTCCCATAACATACATACAGTCTGATCGTCCATTCATTCTCCACTGTCCACATAGTTGTCTATTTGGTTGTGACGAGAGGAGGAATGAGCTGCAAGTTACTCCAGTCTGGTCAAGTTTCCCTTATCTTATTCTGGGTGGTGACTTTAACACCCAAAGTGCTGAAGTACACATCATGTACAGAATTATTCCGTATCTTTCTCTTCACCCATCTTAAGTGTTCCTTGTCTATGAACTCATTTTCTACTGCCCTTTCTTCCCTTTCCTGGAAACCATACTAGAATAATCCTCTCTGTATGTAAACCTTCAGAGCTTCTGCTGAAACCAACTCATCCTACTAAGCCCAGGGCAGAATGTTTAGTATTTTAAGTAACTTAACCAACTCATCCTACTAAGCCCAGGGCAGAATGTTTAGTATTTTAAGTAACTTAAGTATTTCTTGAAAAGGACTGCTAAGTGCCTGATTGTATAACTCAGCCCAAAGCAGTTTAGGAGAGAGGATCATAAAACAAGAGAATTCATGCTCCTTTTTTCTTTTTTTTTTTTCTTTGCCTCTCTCCCAACACAAAATAGATACTGAGAAAATATGGGGGGGGGTGGCGAGAGGAGGATAGAGTAGCAGGATGAAGACAGAAATCGGAAACCTCTCTGTCCAGAACACTCCTCTTGTCAGGAAGAAGCCAGATGGTAAGGGCATCTGACACTCTCTGTATTTCCTCCTCTGATAGGGTGGGGAGGTCAGGTTCTGCTTATAGGGAGGGGTTGCCCTGGTAAGACCTGCCGAAGTGTTTGTATGAGCCTGGGATTTATCTCAGCACCACATAGCTGTGGACCTGGTTATGAGGAGAGGAGGAATACGCTAGAGGTTACTCCAGGCTAGTCCAGATGCCCTTATCTTATTCTGGGTGGTAACATTAACACCCAAAGTGCTGAAGTACACATCAAGTGTACAGAACTATATTCAGTATAGAAAATTTTATGTAACCAGAGGAACAAAACATTTTATAATAGAATTTCAGTTGGCTTTATTGAAGAAAAAAAAAAGTTTGCAAATGATGTAAGTAGCAGCTTTTGTTATTTTAGGATTTAGTGGTTACCACGTTCACAACCTGCCTCAGAGCACAGGCGTAGAAAGCAGAGGAGCCCATCTCCTGACTGCAGGCCTGGCCCTTCTACATGGTTGAGGCCCAGTAGAACAAATGGATGATGTGACAGCACATAAGAGTGGTTGTGTTAGTTTCCTCCTTGGGGTCTCTGGTGGCAGAGTCTGTATAGAGTTACGCTACCAACTCAAAGGTGGCGCCTCTCTGCTGGTTCAAATCCACCAGCTGTACTGTGAGAGGATATACAATCTTCTCCCAAAACCACACCGGAGGGTCAGTTATGAATTGGTTCTGACTTGACAGCATTGAGTGAGTGAGACAGACAGACTTGGGTGGGATATGTTTATGGTATTCTAAAAATCTGAAGTTTTCACAGAATTTAATTTAGAAGTAAATTAAAGTTTTCACTTTATGTTCTATTTTCACAAGTGCTTCCCTGTATTATCCCCGCTGCCCTGTATTATCCGTTTGGGATCTGATACTCTTTTGGGGTTTTCAGGGTGTCTTAGTAGTTTTCACTTATAGAAAAGAGAGTATAGGAGGTCTGTAGTTTCAAAGTACGCATGCCAAGCTGCTGTGAAGCTAGCAATCATAAAATGTCTCAGTACAGTTTAAACTGAGCTGTTTTCCCCAAAACATTTCCTGATGTCCTTTTATATCTATCAAGCATTGAAATAATTGACTTCTCCAAAATGCAGACAAGGGAGTAACCTATTGTTGTTGATGTGTTGTGGACATAGGGGTGGGTATGTGGACCTTTGGGTCAGAACCAACCCATGGCTAACACTCCAGCAGGTTTTCCGAGGCAGAAAATCATATGGCAGAACAGGATCTTTCTCCTACAGAGCAGCTGGTGGGTTCAAACTGCCTGTCTTACTAATATTTGTTTATTCTTAAAAATTGTCATCTGAGTTTTATGAAGAAATGTACCCAGTTAAAATAAAAGCCCAGTTCAATCTATTACTGTTGTTTACTGCAGAGTCAGAACTGACCCATAGCTGACCCTCCAGCCCTTTTCAGAGGCAGTTAATTGCACAGGAGGAGACTGCCCATCCTTCTTCCGCAGAGCAGCTGGTGGCCTCAAGCCACATGTCTTTGAGATATTGCCCTTTCTATTAAGAGACTGAAACATAATTACCTTTGAATATTGATAAAAAAAAAACAAGAGAGTGAAAGACTTTTTCTCATGGAAACAAACAAAAACCCTCAATCCGTTTAACCTATCATGTGTCATAGTGATATTAAAGATGGTCTGGGATAAATTTAAGTCATTTCATCAAAATAAAATTATATTTAATAGTATTACTTTGCTAAATAATTGTTGGCATTTTTTATTTCCCTGAAACAGATGAAGAACTAGCATTGGATGGCAGTTTTGACCAGGACCTAAGAAATTATCACAAACTCCACTGGGAAACAGAATTCAAACCTGTGGCACAGCAGCTTCTAAATCGAATTCAGAGTCATCATACCTTCCTGGAACCCCTTCCTATCCCTTCTTTTTAACACACTATAGATTAACATTAGAAACCAAAAGGCCACCTCTATTCGCAAAAAGTGATACCAAGTATGAACACTTTTTTCAGTGTTTATAAATATTGAAAAATTTCCCAGTTACTGATTTTAGTGAGCAGCTAAGTATTTTAAAAGAAAAATAGCATTTCCCCTTGTTAGTTATTATGGAAAAATGAATATGCAACTTGTTATTCCCTTTCCTGTGAGAAATGTAAGTTGAAAATATATACTTTTTTTTTTCTAAGCAAGTGCCTTTTTCTTTTACGTTCTATTAGATAATTTTTTTTTAAGGTTGTTGATGAGTCTTCACCCGGTTCTTTTTTTAAAAATTGTTATTAATTTCAATGAACATCTACAGAGATTTTGGAATTCCATTCATTCATCGTTGCACTTTTCTCCCCACCCACTCACCCCCACCCCTACCCCCAGTTCGCTTCTCTCCTTAAAAAGCAAAAGAAAAACTCCTTCATTGGTACACAATCCGCCCACCCCCACCCGGCACATCCCCACTCCCACCCCAAGTATACTCCACTCTGCAACCCTCATTCTGGGCTCTTATGATAATCATAATGCCCTAAAATATATTAATTTTAAACTATTCTCTCCCTCATCGGCTTCAATGCAGTAAATATAATTTATGCAGTTTTTCTCAGTCTTACCCCACACCAATGTCAGCCTCATTCTAGATAATTTTATTTTAGTCTTAACATCCCATCCTGATTTCAAGATTTAGTAATCTTGTGTTTTAAGTGGTGGTCAGTTCATTAGTGAAATATGCAAAGCAAACCAGTAGACTCTGTATATAAAAAGAATGGTGGCCAACACAAATGGAACACAGTAGTATAGACACATCTATACTGATTCTTACTAGAGCTAATAATAAATTTTCTGATGAAGTACTGTTATTTTTTCCAGTTCTCATATTAAGATGAGTAAGTTAGAGATGGGCCATCTATTCTTTTATTAAGTGTAGGAAATTTAGCTTACAAGTGGAATATTGTTGTTAGGTGCTGTCAGGTCCATTGTGACTCACAGACCCTGCAATAGCTATGGGCAAAGCTTTGAATGATCTAGGAAGCATCAAAAGAAGATGGAGGGAAAACAGAGTCACCGTACCAAAAACAATTTGCTAACACTGAAGAATTTCAGGAAGTACCATCTAAATAAGAGCGAGTGTTAATGAGAAAGTTGAGGCTGCACTGAAGGCATTGGCAAAATGCCCGCAATATCTCTGAACTCTGCCCTGTCCTGAGCCAGTCTCACTGTCTCAGGCACACCTGCCCCCATTGTCAATCTATCTCAACCAGGAACAGCATAATGCTTTTCAAATAAAATGCTTGGAGTACAGTCCTCTTCTAATTGTTAATATTCTGTGACTAGGGAAGTGATGTATCCTAAAAAGGGTTGTTGTCATTATGTGCCGTCGCGTCGTTTTCGACTCATAGCGACCCTATGTACAACAGCCCTAAACCCTGCTCTATCCTGTGCCAACCGCACTGCCTCTGACACACCCATCCCAATTAACCCAGTCACTGAATCAGTCCACCTCATAGAGGGTCTTCCCCTCCTGCGCTATCCCTCCACCCTACCAAGCATGATGTCCCTCTC